ATAAACTTTTTTTAATAAAAAATAACCGATATTTATTAACTAAACACAATGTCAGAAGTGACTACTGCAGTAATACAAGTTGGTATTTCAGTTTGAAAATCCAAGGCTAAGACGAAAAGAAAGCATAATTTGCAAGGGCATGGGCCACGCCATTAGCTTCACGGAGAATGAATCAGACTGTAATGTGCGGATTTGTTTCCAGTATTTGCCGAGCTTCACGAAGATAAAAATGGAGAATCAAGATATCAGTTGGCGGGTTATGAAGCTGTTGTACAACGTTCCATGAATCACTTCTGACCACCACACTTGGCAGCCCAACTTCCTAAGCCAGACAAACGCCATGAGAGATTGCCAAAGCATCGATCAGACCTGCTGAGCGAGGAGCAGAAACCTGGAAAGCCTGTCCTGCCATAACCATGCCCGTAGAATCCTGAAGCACCATTCCAATAGCCAGTGGGCCAGTTGAACGGGGACAAGCACCATCAACATTCAATTTGAAGGAATCCGCTACAGTTTTGATCCAACAATGAAGGTGAAGTCCCGAAGCCAAGGCAGCAGCCGATGATCCCGATAAAGCCGTGGCAATGACAAAAGCTGACTGGAGCACGGCTTCGATTGCAACGGGTTACCACCCGGATAGTAAATGACCTTCATGAAAGAATAGATTCCGGCGATGTCATATCTTCCGCAGCAAAATCAAGAACGTGATGAAACGGTGCACCGACAGAGTGTACATCAAATGCTCCATCCACCCATCAAAAGATGAAAAGTCCTGGTGATTTTGCGCCAATGAAAAGCCAGCTTCCACCAATGTTGGATTAACCAATGAGCAGTCGCGCAAAGCGTGAATTATAAACTTGAATAGAATATTTTCAATTAAATTTATAGGTCTGATTTAACAGTTTATTTTTGTATTTGTATGGCAGTTGCTATCCGAAATTACTCTGCTTAATTATCGAAGTTAATTGTTATATCAAAACTAATTAGTTGATTGCAAAATTTTCGTGTCAAGAATCTTGACAATTTTGACAGTATGAATCTGGACTGATTTCAAACTAGGTATAGTACTCAAAACAATTGTTAAAATAGTTGACTTATTAGCTGGAATTTGTGATATAATTACTGCGAAAATTCAGTCAAAATAACATTCTTACTCGATTTAAGTTAGAGGATCAACCTATAGATACCAAGTATTTTGAGCATTTCGATTCATCCAAAAACAATATTTTATATGAGTTCTCTCTCTTTCTATTCTCTAAATATTATATTTCGAGCTCGCTTTAGAGAAGAGCTTTGTCCATTTCCCAATTTTGATTGTACGAATTTAGGAAATATTGTGTTAATCTCGGAGGAAGGGATTCATTATAGCGACTACACCAATAAAGACGAATTTACTTCAAAGATACTGATTAACCACGACACAATTTACAATTTATTATTATTATTATTATTGTCCAATTTGTGCTATGGTATGGATTTTACAATAATATCACTAACACTTCCAAAGGGAATCAAAAGAAAATACCAACATTAAAACCACAAAAACTTAGTTTGAAAGTGGTGGAGAGGATCAATGATGTTGTCATGCCTACCTTGGATCCAGAAGTGATGCCTCAAGGTCCCATTACTCGATCAAGGGCCAAATAATTCAGGGAAGTACTCTTAACTAAGTGTCTTGAAGCCTTCAATTTATTTGACAACTTAACATCATCCAATGTTAAGTTGTATAATGTTTTAATAGTTAAAGACTAAGTTAGCATATCCACATCTTTATGATTAATGCACAATGTTAATTTAAGTATGTTAAGCATGATAGATTAGTCTTGCATTCATTTAAGCATGATTCATTACATTCATGAAATGACATCATGCTTAATCATTCATTTGTTAGACATGTGCATTCATTTCAGCTCCTAAATCTTATAAATTAGCTTACATATGTTATATCATTATATATACTTAGCTCATGACATGCATTCATAGCTCACAAGACCATAATCATGCATGGCAACAAGGTAATTGGATCATACAAGTTCAATGCCTTTGATTTACCTTGTCTTCTTTGCACATATAAGTACATAGAAGCATGACACACATTAGGGCAACTTATTGGAGTATTTGGGAACAATATGCAGCTCACAATTAGATCACAAACATCATGACATCTCGTGGAACACAATGGGAAGCTCAACTCAGCTGGAGGAGCTCAAGGCTAGCTCATCTCAGCTAGTTGGACTATTTGAAGACAAGTTGTTGAAAGTGACAACAAATGCAGCTGAACATAACTGAAGGTGATGCTAGGGAGATTGGGAAATCACGACTAAGAAGATCCTTCACCACCAACCCTTGCATTGTTATCTAGCTAAACACATGCAAGCTTGAAGATAGCTAAACTCACGCCCAAGGCTGCTGCACATGTTTGGTTTACATCATATGCATAAGGCTACACCATAAGCCTCCTAGATAACCATGTGCAAGCCTTGTGACTAGCAAACATGTGCCAAGCATGTGGACTCCTCCTAGGCGGGCCAAACACCAAACAAGCCAACCATTCGACCAAGGCTCATGATGCTTTATTTAGGCTCCAACTTGAAGGGGTTCAAGCACCATTCGACCAAGAGACATGCCCCCTCCATTTAGCCGAAACATTATCCCCTTTCATTCATGTATTTAATTAATTAATTATGTCATTCTAGAGGGACACAAGGGCTGGCCGAACAAACATGTATCCATTCGGCCATATCCCTTCAATTTCTATAAATAGGTTGGTCCTATTCATTTTGTAAACACACATTTGATATAATTTAAGTGAGATTATTCTATTTTCTCAAGTCTTTATGACTTTTATCGACTTATCAAGTAATTTATTACTTGTGGCATCAACCTCTATTCCCTTGAAACTTGTGTTTCTTATCTCCATAGAGATAATGGGTCCAAGTTCTTTGTTACCATCCCTTAGAGAGATTTGTAAGGTTGGGTCTTTGCTCATTGTAGCACTGGTTCTTCCTTGGTCTTTCTAAGATACTATCTTTTCCAGCCATCCTTTCTTTCATAAGCGATACCATAGCCTTATCATCCTACTTTTGCTACCAACTTCATAACATACATAGCCCTTCATTTTACCTTTACATCAACTACGAAGCCATCTATTTAAGTCATTCACTTATGCAGGTTGTTTTGCTTCCTTTCCATATCAAAAATCAATTTAAGGTAGAAGTACCTTACATCAAGTGGTATTCAAAGCTTTGGTGGAAGAAGCAAAGTGCAACAACAACAACAATAAAATACAAAAAGAACTGCAAGTGAAGAAAAAAATCAGCAAAGAAAATTGCAAGCACCCAAAGAAGAACAAAAGAAGAAAAGAAAAGAAAATTTCAAAGCACAAACAACAAGTTTATCACCAAGCCATTCAAGTGAGCATCTAAAATTGATTGTGGTGATAAAAAGGGTTGTGAAGTGACTTTGTGTAAGTAACCCCTTTATTCTCTTCTTTCTTATTTTTAAGCCACCCTTTTCATTATATTTTGCTTTCTATTCCTACTAACCATTTGCAGCCGACACACAACAAGTAAACTTTACTTGGTATAGTTTTGAGTAAAGTTACTTAGAACTCGAGACAAAGAGATTGAGAGGAAAAAGGCTTGAGCGTGGGAGACTGGAAGAGGAATAGTAAAAGCCTTGAAGTCCTAGAGTGCAAACACGAGCGGATTGAGTGACATTAAAGTTTCCTCAGAGTGAACTAGTGAGGCTTTATGAGAGCATTAATTGGTAAGGTCCTATACACATTTCCTTTTTCTTATTTTTTCTAACATGTCTCTTCCATCCAACATATTTGTAGTTAAAAGGACTTTGAACATTCAAAGTTGAGAAGATGAACAAAGAGAGAATATCTTCCATAAAAAATATCATATGGAAGATAAAGTTTGTATAGTGATCATTGATGGAGGAAGTTGTACAAATGTAGCAAGCAATCACATGGTGGAAAAAATGAGCCTAAAGACTTCCAAACATCCTCATCCTTACAAATTACAGTGGCTCAATGATGTGGAGGAAGCAAAGGTAACCAAACAAGTCGTTGTTCCTTTCTCCATTAGAAGATACAATGATGAAGTTCTTTGTGATGTAGTGCCCATGAGTGCAAGCCACGTTATATTAGGACGACCTTGGCAATTTGACAAGAAGGCTACTCATGATAGATTTTCCAATGAGTATTCCTTCCAACATCAAGGAAGGAAAATCATATTGGCACCTATGCTTCCAAGTCAAGTCCATGAATGCCAAGTGACCCTTAAGTCATGCATAGAAGAATGGGAGAAGGAAAAGAAGGCAAAACAAATTCACACTCAAAAGATGAACATATATGCCAGTAGAGGAGATATTCATAAACATTTATCTACAAAGAAAGCTATAGTTATACTTATGTATAATAAAATTTTCTACTTACTAACCCTCCTAAAGGCCTGCCTTCTTCTATCTCCACTCTTTTGCAAGAACTTTAAGATATATTTCCTGAAGAAATTCTGATGGTTTACCACTAATTAGAGGAATTGAACACCAAATTGATTTCATTCCTGGAGCCATCATTCCTAATAGAACAACATACAAAAGCAATCCCGAGGAAACCAAGGAATTGAAAAAACAAGTCAAAGAACTACTAAACAAAGGATACATTTGGGAGAGTTTAAGTCCTTGTTTTGCACTAGTTTTGTTGGTGCCAAATAAAGATGGAACTTGGAGAATATGTGTGGATTGTAGGGTTGTGAACCAGATCACCATCAAGTATAGACACCCTATACCTCGATTGAATGATATGCTTGATGAACTTAATGGTAACAACATCTTCTCCAAAATTGATTTGAAAAGTGGCTACCATCATATTAGAATGAAGGAAGGTGACGAGTGGAAAACCACATTCAAGACCAAACAAGGTTTGTATGAGTGGTTAGTCATGCCTTTTGGCTTAACTAATGCCCCTAGCACCTTTATACGTTTGATTAACCATGTCTTTTGGCCTTACATTGGTAATTTGTGTTGTTTATTTGGATAACATATTAATATACAGTAAGTCCCTAAACGAGCATGTTGAACATTTAAGAACTATTATTGTCACTTTGAGAGAAGAGCACTTATACGCTAATCTCAAGAAATGTGTTCTCTGTACTGACCAAGTTACCTTCTTAGGCTTCATTGGAAGTTCACAGAGATTGGCAGTGGATCCAGAGAAGATTAAATCAATTCAAGTGTGGCCAAAACCTATCAATATCAGTCAAGTCCAGAGTTTCCATGGATTGGCTAGTTTTTACAGGAGGTTTGTACCTAATTTTAATTCTATTACCACCCCTTAACAGGGATTATTAAGAAGAATTCAAACTTCTCTTGGGGGTAAAGAACAAGATATAGCATTCAACGAACTTAAGGATTGTTTGACAAAGGCATCATTACTAGCCTTGCCAAATTTTGAAAAGACCTTTGAAGTTGAATGTGATGCCTCCGGGATTGGAATTGGTGTTGTTTTGAGTCAAGAAGGAAAGCCAATTGCTTACTTTAGTGAGAAACTAAATGGTGCAACTCTGAATTATCCAACTTATGAAAAAGAGATGTATGCACTCATTCGGGCATTAAAAACTTGGCAGCACTAGTTGTTACCAAGTGAATTTTTTATACACACTGACCATGAAGCCTTAAAGCATATCAAGGGAAAACACAAGCTTAATAAGAGACATGCCAAATTAGTCGAATTCCTTGAGTCTTTTCCCTATGTCATCCACTATAAGAAATGAAAAGATAACATTGTGGCTGATGCTCTTTCACGTAGGTATGTTTTACTTAACACATTGGATTCTAAACTTCTTGGTTTTTCATTCATCAAAGAACATTATGCTACTGACTTGCACTTTAGAGAAAAGTATAAGTTATGTGAAACAGATGCTCATAACAAGTACTACCAGCATGATGGATATCTTTTCAAGGAAGAGAGACTTTGCATCTCACAAGGCTCCATGAGAGAAATATTAACCAAAGAAGCACATGAAGGGGGACTTATGAGACACTTTGGCGTTGAAAAGACACTTAGCATCTTGAAAGAACATTTCTTTTGGCCAAAGATAAAAAGGTATGTTGAAAAGGTATGTGAAAGGTTCATAGTGTGTAGAAAGGAAAAACAAGAGTTATGCCCCATGGATTGTACATGCCTTTACCAATTCCAACCATGCCGTGGGTAGATATCTCTATGGACTTTGTTTTGGGCTTACCAAAGACCAAGAGTGGAAAAGATTCAATATATGTGGTGGTTGATAGGGTCTTTGAAATGGCTCACTTTAGACCATGCAACAAAACCGATGATGCCATCCATGTTGCAAATTTGTTCTTCAGAGAATTGGTAAGGTTACATGGACTTCCTCGAACCATTGTGTCAGATAGAGATTTCAAATTCTTAAGCCAATTCTGGAGGACTTTGTGGAGTAAAGTCGGCATAAAACTACTATTTTATACTATATTTCATCCACAAATAGATGGAAAAACTGAAGTGGTTAACAGATTTTTGTCAACGTTACTCAGATCCATCATCCAAAAGAATATCAAAACTTGGGAAGAATGTCTACCACACGTGGAGTTTTCTTACAACCGAACAATTTATTTAGCAACCAAGTATTCTCCACTTGAGGTAGTGTATGGTTTTAACCCTTTAAATTCTTTAGACTTAGTTCCTTTACATTGTGATCAAATAGTGAACAAAGATGGAAAAACAAAGAAGAATTCGTTAAAACGCTCCATCAACAAGTCAAGGACAATATTGAAAGATGGACTAGACAATATGAGCAACAGACAAACAAAGGAAGAAAGAAGATAACTTTTGAAGTGGATGATTGGGTTTGGGTACACTTTAGAAAAGAAAGGTTCCCAAATCAAAGAAAGTCCAAATTACTACCCCGAGGAGATGGTCCATTTCAAATTGTGGAAAAGATAAATAACAATGCTTACAAACTATAGTTGTCCGGTGAGTTTGCAGGCGTAAGTGCTTCATTCAACATATCTAACTTGTCACCATTTGTGGCTATAAATGATTTAGGGACAAATCGCTTAAAAAAAGGGAGATGATGTGGTCATACCTACCTTGGATCCAGAAGTGATGCCTCAAGGTCCCATTACTCGATCAAGGGTGAAATAATTCAGGGAAGCACTCTTAACTAAGTGTCTTGAAGCCTTCAATTCATTTAACAACTTAACACCATCCAATGTTAAGTTGTATAATGTTTTAATAGCTAAAGACTAAGTTAGCATATCAACGCCTTTATGATTAATGCACAATGTTAATTTAAGTATTTTAAGTATGTTAGATTAGTCTTACATTCATTTAAGCATGATTTATTACATTTATGAAATGAAAGCATGCTTAATCATTCATTTGTTAGCTCATGTGCATTGATTTCAGCTCCTAAATCTTATACATGAGCTTACATATGTTATATCATTATGTACTTAGCTCTTGACATGCATTCATAGCTCATAAGACCATAATCATGTACGAAAGCTTTTGGAACAAATAGGAAGCTCAACTCAGTTAGAGGAGCTCAAGGCTAGCTCATCTCAGCTAGTTGGACTATTTGACGACAAGTTGCTGAACGTGACAACAAATGTAGCTGAACATAGCTAAAGATGATGCTAGGGAGCTTGGGAGATCATGGATAAGAAGATCCTTCGCCACCAGCGCTTGCATTGTTTGTTAGCTAAACACATGCAAGCTTGAAGATAGCTCAACTCACACCCATGTTTGGTCTTCATAATATGTATAAGGCTACACTATAAGCCTCCTAGGTAACCTTGTGACCAGAAAACATGTGCCAAGCGTGTGGACTCCTCCTAGGTGCACCAAACACCAAATAACCCAACCATTCAACCAAGGCTCCTAATACTTCATTTAGGCGCCAATTTGAAGGGGTTCAAGTACCATTCAGCCAAGATACATGCCCCCTTAATTCAGTCGAAACATTATTCCCTTTCATTCATGTACTTAATTAATTAATTATTTCATTCTAGAAGGACACAAGGGCTAGCCAAACCAACATGCATCCATTCGACCATATCTCTTCAATTCATATAAATAGGTTGGTCCTATTCATTATATAAACACACATTTGATATAATTTAAGTGATATTATTCTCTTTTCTCAAGTCCTTGTGACTTTTATCGACTTATCAAGTAATTTATTACTTGTGGTATCAACCTCTATTCCCTTGATACTTGTGGTTCCTATCTCCTTATAGATAGTGGGTCTAAGTCCATTTTACCATCCTTTAGAGATATTTGTAAGGCTGAGTCTTTTCTCATTCTAGCACTGGTTCTTCCTTGGTCTTTCTAATATATTATCCTCACCAACCATCATTTCTTTCATAAGCCATACTATAGCCTTTTCATCCTACTTCTGCTACCAACTTCATAACATACATAGCCCTCCATTTCACCTTTACATCAACAACCAAGCCATCTATTTGAGTCATTCACTTATGCAGGTTATTTTTACTTCCTTCCTAGATCCACAATCAATTTAAGATAAGAGTACCTTACATCAATAGACCTTTGAATAACTTTTAACAACGTTTAAATAATACAAAGCTAAAAAGCTTGCCATAACATTTTGTTCTTTTATATATGTATTGCACGAAATAAAGAGAAATATAAGAAATGAAACCTTGTTGTTAGTTATCACAAATTATTTCCATGAAATACCATTTGAATAAATCCATCTAAGAACAGCGAGAACAATTAGTGACATGGAAAAATGGAGATGTTAACACTAATTGAAAAATAATAAGAATTGATGTCGTAACGCTTTTTTCAAAAAGAAAAAGATTCATTATTCTTAATCATAAAAATTATATTTTTTGAATTTTTAATTTCAAAATCAATGTAATTTGGAGTCGCTGTCAAACTTTTGGTTAGGTAGATCGAATACCTAACAAATAACTTTTAAAGAATAATTATTTTTAAAATACAACTTGGTCTACATTTACCATAGATTTATTTTAAGGATTCAGGGGTCATTACGAATGGAGAAATAGATACTCATGCACAACGCCCAATATTAATACCTAATTGGTTATACATCATTGTGGTAATAGGAATTAAAGAAATCTAAAATTAAGAATTATCTTACAATTTATTTTATTGCTCATTAATTAATTCATTTCTAACTATAGATGAACATTCTTCATTTTGAGAAGAGATCCCAGAATTTGTACGTCCTCTAGTGGGAAGGCTATCCCATCTATCTCTTCTAGGGGTGCTTATCGAGCGAGTTGATCGCGAGTTGGATAGTGCTCAAATCGTGCTATTTAAAAAATTTATTGCTCAACTTGACTCGTTGCTCGTTAAGCTCGTTAAAATTGTGCTCGACTCGTGCTCATTAAGAAAATTTGTTACTAGACTCATTGCTCATTAAGCCCGCAAAATTTTTATTTTATTTTTTAAACTATAAATAAAATCTATTATTACTATTATAACTTACTATAAACTAAAATTAATAAATATAACAAAAAATTATCGAAAAATGTATAAAACAAATTCAAAGGGTAAACACCAAAATAACAATCCATAAATACATTAAAATAATAATTAAGGTTTGATTTTTGGTTATAGTAAAATAATAATTATGAATTAATAATTTAGTATTTTAATTATTTATTAGAAAATTAATAGATTAGTGATTTATTATTATTTTTATTATCAATTAGTAAATTAGTAATTTTTTAATGAAATAAATTTTTCAGATAACATTGAAAAGTTATAAAAAAAAGTAACTAGTTGCTTGCGAACTTATCGAGTCGAGTTGGACTTTGCTCGAGGCATCGAGTCAATCCTGAGTTGAGCTTTTATCGAGTTTTGACTGAGTCCAGTTCGATCTACTCACGAGCTGCTCAACTCATTAAGCACCCCTAATCTCTTCCCTATATGAGAATATTCTCTTTATTATTTATTTAGATGGCCTTGCAATAAGCATGAATTGAATATAATTAAAATTAATACAACATGCAAGAAACAAACACATGATTACTATAAAAAGTAGAGGGGTCATTTTGTATTAAAACCACGTATTACATATGATAATCAAGACAAGACAATGACTAAAATGTAAAGCCTAATAAATTATAGTGGCTTGTAGCATGAATAAGGTATTTCATAATATTTTCTTATAGAGAAGACTAAAACGCAACACATCAAGAATTTAAAAACTAAATTAGCCATTCAACCAAAACATATGAACATTCAAATAGTGATAAAAATATAAACACATTAAAATATAAAGCTCGGAACATAAAATCAAATAAATTCATTTGGGTACTGAAATGCAAAGGTTACAAAGTAAAGGACCCCTCACGAAGATTACCCAACCGTTAAATGTGCAACTATAACCCCCATAAAACAACACCGTATAGTTCCTATTATATATGTTTTGAACCAAGGCCAAAAATGGCCTAATCTCTCATTTCCTCATTTTTGTATTTCTGCCTAAAAGAGAGTTTGTTTTCTCTCAAATCTTTCCTCACCGAAGGAGGCCGAAAAGGCACCAACCGTCTTTTGTTGATTTCACTGACAGCTGAATATGGTGGTCAAAATTTAGAGCTCGAAATGAACCCTCTCCCCTCGTAAATTTATGTCCAAGCCTAGAGACTCACGAATCGTTCTAGATCTAGGGGCTTACCTTTGAAAGATAACACTTTCTGGCAATGCTTGGACTCTCCGGTGGAAGAAGAAGGTTTGCTTCTCCTTTCCCTTTCACTTTTTTCTTTTTTGTTTTTTCTTCCCCCTCTCCTTTTTGGTTTTTCCCTTTATATTGAAAGATTCCTTTTTTTATGATTTTTGGTTGTATGATAAATATTCTCTTACTTTTATTTGTTTTCCTTTTTTCAAATTTGGGGCTTTGGCCGATGAGGCTAATCCAGCAGGGAAAAGTTCCTTAATTAAGCAATTTTGATGCATGTAAAGGAAGGGCTAAAATTTGTACCCTAAGGTCCCTTTTTAATTGTCACTGTGATGATCGATGACAAATCCGATGCAGTGATGACAACAACTTCGAGAGATGGGGAGTCTAACGCGTGCATCTCACGAACAGGGAACCATGGGTGTGTGGAGGAAGTGGATGGAGCAACCTTTTATGGTGAAACCTTAATGGGGCCTTAATCTGGACCATTAAATTGGATTCAATCCAATGATAGGGTAGAATCATCGATAGAAACAAAGGGTGAAAACCCTAGTTCCCTTCATCTTAACTGTTTGATCTACCCAGATATAACGGTGCCAATTGTGCGGCACATAGGAGATGAGATTTGTAGGGTTCCCATAGTTGTTGGGCTTTCACCGATTCGGGCTAGGGTTAATTGGTATGTTTTGTTTGCTAATGAGCTATAAAGAGGTTTGGTTTACATTGTCATTTAGACTTTTAAAATTTAAATTAATAATTTTTGTGTGTTTGTGTTACATTATAAGTTCACTTTAGTTTAAATGTCGTATTGAATTGCACTATCTCGATATATTGTACTTTTCACGCTCATTCTACAAAATGCATTCTTGAAAATTGATACAAGCATTAATCTAAAGACATTTTACCATTTTAATAAAATATTTAGAACTTATACGTCATTTAACATTTAAATAATTGAAGCAAATATGGATACTAAGTAAATGAAATTAATAGGCTATGTTAGAACTAAACTATAACTGTAGGGACCTATTGGTAATAATTTTATTTTATGCAATAAATATATTAGAAAAATGACTAGAATGAAAACTTAACAAAATTAGAGAGGTTATTTTGTATTATTAAAACTACTTTAGTACATATGATAATCAAGACAAGAATGACTAAAATGTAAAACCTAATAAATTATAGTGGTGCGTAGCAAGATTATGGCATTTCCTAACATCTTACACAAATGATTAAAATGCAGCAAATCAAGAAATTAAAAGTTAAATTAGGCTTTCAATCAAAATATATGAACATTCAAATAGTGATGAAAATATAAACACATTAAAATATAAAGCTTGAAACATAAAAATAAATAAATTCCATTCGCTGATTGAAATGTAAAGGTTACAAAGTAAAGGACCCCTTGAGATGATTACCCAATCGCTAAATGTGCGACTCTAAACCCCCCCCCCCCAAAAAAATTGTGTCGTATAGTGCCTAGTATATATATTTTAATCCAAGGCAAAAAATGGCCTAATCTCCCATTTCCTCATTTTTGTTTTTTTCTTTGTTTTTTGCTTAAAACAGAAAGTTTGTTTCCTCTCAACTCTCTCATCACCGTGGGAGTCTGAAAAGACTCTGGCTACCTTATGTTAACACCGCTGGTGGTCATATACGGTGGTCGACACTCAAGTCAAAGCTAAAAAATAACCCTTTCCCCCTCCTAAACCTAAATTCGAGCTCTACTAAGCCTAGAGACTCACAAATCGTTCTAGCTCTATGGGTTTACCTTTAAAAAATAACATTTTTCAACGGAGCTTAGACCCTCCGGTGGAAGACAAAGGTCCCCTTCTCCTTTCCCTTTCCCTCTTTTTCTTTTTAATGTTTTCTTCCCCTCTCTCGTTTTTAGTTTCCATTTCATATTGAAAAATATCCCCTTCTTTTTTATCATTTTTGGTTGCATGATAAACATTCTCTGACTTTTGTTTGTTTTCCTTTTTTCAGGTTTGGTGCTTTGGTCGAGGAGGGTAATCTAGTGGGAACAAAGCCCTGAATCGGGTGGCTTTGATTCATGTAAAGGAAAGAATAAAATATTTACCTTGAGGTCTCTTTTTATTTCTCTCAATGATGACCGACAATAAATTCGACGGCGGTGACGATAGTAGCTTTGAGAAAGAGGGAGTATGGCAAGTGCATCTCACGAACAAGGCACCACATGCAAATGGAAGTGGTGGCTGGAGTAATCATTTAGGGTTAAACCCTAATAGGGCCTTGATTTGGAATATTGGATCAGATTCGATCCAATCGTAGGGGTAAAGTGGTAATAGAAACAAAGGGTGAAAACCCTAGTTTCCTTCATCTTGGCTGTTGTATCTGCCTATATCTAACAGTGCCAATCATGTGGCGCATGGGAGATAAGATTGCTTGGGTTCCCCTAGCTGTTGGGCTTCCAATGATTTAGGCTTGGGTTAATGGGTCTGTTTGTTTGTTGATGAATTATAAAGAGTTTTGGGTTACATTGTAATTTGGACTTTTAAAATATAAATTAATAGTTTTTTTGTATTTTGATTTTCTATTTATAATAACAAATATCAATATTAATAATAATAATAAAAAAAAATGGTGATTATAGTTGACCCTCTTTACTTATTGCGGTAGAACTGGAATAAAGAAAAGACATAAAACATCATTTTCGGTGTGGTCACTAAGATTCTTTAGCTACAAGTTCTTCTCATTATGATTTTTTTCTTTGAAAATGTTGATCCACCTTATTTTGTGATGGAATTGGGTGAAGGTTGAACAAGTCCTTCTGATTATTCACTTCTTCTCTTAGAAATGTTGATCCACCTCTTTTTGTGTTGAAATTGAGCAAAGTTTTCAACAAGTTCTTTTAATTTTGAACTTTTCCTCTCATAAATGCTGATCCAACTCTTTTTATGATGGAATCGAGCAAAGGTTGAACAAGTTCTTCTTGTTATGAACTTCTTCTCTTGGAAATGATGTCCTATCTCATTCTATTATGCAATTGAGCAAAGGTTGAACAAGTTCTTCTCTCATAATGAACTTATTCTATTAGAAAAGATGATCCAACTCCTTCTATGGAATCGAGCAAAGGTTGACCAAGTTCTTCTCATTATAAATTCTTTTCTCGAAAATATTACTCTTTAAAACTTGAATTCTTTGTTGAAGTCTACTTATTTGACTGATGAAAAGATGAATTGAATCTCTATTGGCTATTAATTTCTTGTCAAACATTCAACAATTGATAAAAAATGGATGTGTATGCTCTTATTTTGTAAATGCCTAAATATGCATGCATGATGTCATTTTAGTATTGCAAGCATCATTGTCTTGTAAATCTTCGCTTCGTCCTCTTTGTTAGAGTCGTTTCTTGAGTCGTAATCTCCAGTTCTCTTTATTTTTCAACTTAGCATTGACTTCTTTCGTATTTACTATGCGCTTCTTCCTTAAAGGTCTTAGAGCACCCCTTTCATGTTTTCATTTTACGATTTTCTTTCTAATAATTGCTCTTTTACTTATTTCCGATAATGTCTGACTAGAGAGATGCTTTGAAATGAAATGGATCGTCGTAATTTTATTACCCCTTTTGAAATTGGGTTATCGATATTCATCAGGTCACATTCTATCATACACTTCTATTAATAAACATAAGTGTTAACATGATGATCTGCTTTGGATTCCCTGTGCTTTAAAGGTTAACTCAAAGTAATACCAAGAAATGTTTTATTTTAATTTAGGCTATGATATCCTACTAATAAGATGCTTAAAAAATGAAATCTGAAGTGGGAATTAATAAAATCGAAATTCATTGATAAAATCTAGAAATTTATACAAAATCATGACAATAAAAAAATGAAAAGAAAATCAAGAAATAAAAGGTATATGCCCCAAGACTCTCTAGCATGAGTGTTCCTGGATCAATCACTATGATATAATTTAGAGCACTAAGGTGAGATTTTATCTAAAAGATATCAATGTTGTGTAGAGGTTTACAGATGTGGAGCTTCTCTCGAACTATCAGGCTCTCAAGAGGGTTTAACTACCAGGTACATAACATCAAAATGCTTTAGAGCCACGCTTTTAAGTTTTCAACTCAGATCCTTCATTTGGTTTTAAGATGTCCTTTACAAATTTTTATCTTGAACCCCCTTTTCTTTTCCTTTTTCTTTTGTTTCTTCTTCTCTTAAAGCGTAGTATTTCTTGACAAAATCTGAGTTTATTAGATTTTTCAATACCTTTCCATCCATTTCTGCCAAAATCAATGCTCCTCTGGAAAAAGCCTTTTTGAGGACATATGGCCTTTCCTAATTAGGCATCCACTCCCCATAAAAGTCCTTGTGAATAGACAAGATCTTCCTGAGCACTAAATCACCCTCTCGATATTCTCTCGGGTGAACCTTTTTGTCATGAGCTTGCATCATCTGTTTCTAGTATATTTGCCTATGGCATATGGCCTTTAACCTCTTTTCTTCAATTAAATTTAATTGATCAAACCGATCTTGAACCCATTCAGCTTCATTCAACTTTACCTCTTTCAAGATTCAGAGTGGCAGAATTTCAACTTCAACATGTACAATTGCTTTCATTTCATATACCAAAGAGAAATGCATTTGCCTCATTGACGTACGCACAATAGATTGATATACATATAGGGAAAATGGTAATTTCTCATTTCAGCCCCTATAAGTTTAATGGTCTTTGTGATAATCCTCTTAATTATGTTTTTTCTACTACCTCATTCATCATTGGATGGTAGGTTACTAAATTAGCAAGCTTTATCTTGAATCACATACATAGTTCATCCATCATTTTATTGTTTAGATTGATAGGGTTATCTATGATGAATCTCTCTGGCAACTTATATCGGTACATTATCTCCTTTATAAACCTTGAAATTATAGATCTTTTGGTATTGGAATAGGAAGCATCATCTACCCACTTAGTGAAATAATTAATTGCCAATGGGATGAAGCGATTTCCATTTAAGGTTTTTGGCGTGACTATCCTAATGACGTCTATACCCCACATAGAGAACGACCATAGTGCGATCATGACATGCAGCTACAAAGGCATTGCATGAATCTTAATTGCATATATTTGGCACTTGTGGAATATTCTTATATAATCAACATAATCTATTTGAATCATAACCCAATATTACCCATATCTCATTATCTTTCTAGCCATATATAGTTTGTTCTCATGTGTCCAACATATTCCACCCTGTACTTCTCTTAGAATGTATCTTGCTTCTTTGGAGTCCACACATCTCAACATAAATTGATCATTGTCTCTTCTATATAGAATTTCTCCATCTAGGACTTACTCAACAACCGTTCTTCTGAGTGTCCTTTGATCTATCTCCGATGCATGTTGGGGATAGACTTGATATAATGTAGAAAATCATAGTAACATGGGTGGTTATCTGCCTCTTCTTTTATGCTATAAAATGTGTTGGGTTTCATATACTTGCATTCTGATTAACATCATGTCAGCTTTTTTATTTGCCTTAAACATTACTGTCAGTATGGACAAGGCATCTCCCATTTGATTATCCTCTCAGGGGAGATAAGTGAAAGTAATCTCTTCAAATTCCTTTACTAGTTCAAAGACCAAATTTCTATATTCAACTAGTTTTGGATCCTTTGTCTCTCACTCTCCTCGTAGTTGATATACCACTAACGAGGAGTCTCCATATGCCTTGAACACTTTAACTTTTCTCTAAATGGCTACTCTAAACCTCATGTTACGTGCTTCATATTTTATCATATTGTTGGTGCATAGGAACTCCATCATACTTATGAAAGGATAGTAGACATTTACTGGTGAAACCAGAACTGCCCTAATTTTTTGTCCTAGAGCATTAGAAGCTCCATCAAAATAAAGCTTCCAATACTTTCATCTAATGTAATTTCTTTATCATTTGAAATCCACGTCAAATCCTCATCTAGAAAATTAAAGTTTAAGGACTCGTAATCTTCTGAAGCACGACTTACTATAAAGTATGTTATGATAGTTCCTTTTATTGCCTTTTCGTTAACATACATGATATCAAATTTGGATAACAACATTTTCCATCTTTCCATCCTTCCATTTATAGCTGGTGACTCCATCAAGAACTTTAGGGGATATAGTATGGATATCAACCAAATGGTATGGTATAACATATACTGCCTGAGCCTCTTGGTAGCCCATACCAAAGCACAACATAGCTTGTGAATTAGCGGGTACCGGATGTCGCAATTAGTGAAATTTTTACTCAAATAATAAATGATTTTTTCCTTTTTTTCTAGACTCATCATGATGCCCCAACACACATCCCATCGAATTCTCAAAGATTTTCAGGTAGAGAATTAACGGTCTATCAGGAACCGTTGCTACCAAGATCGAAGAGTTGGATAAATATTTCTTAATAATTTCCAAAGTTTCTTGGTACTCATCATTCTATATTTCAGGGTTGTTCTTTTGAAGTAATTTGAACATTGGATCACATTTATCGGTTAACTAAGAAATGAATCGGGATATATAATTTAGTCTCCCTAAGAAATCTCAAACTTTTCTTTGTGATAATGAATTACCTTCACTTTATCTGAATCTATCTCAATTCCTCATTTACTTGCTACAAGACCAAAGAGTTTTCCAGATGTTACCCTGGAAGTTAACTTAGCTAGGTTAAGTTTTAACAGATACTTCCTCAATCTTTGGAAAAATTTTCTCAGATTAAGAATATCTCCTCTTCAATTTGGGACTTTTCAGTCATGTCATCCAAATAAACTTTGATCTTTTTATGCATCATATCGTGGAAAAGAGTCATCATTACCCTTTCGTAAGTTTTTAAAAAAATTCAATCTAAACGACATTATTTTAGAATAGAAGGTACCTCATATGGTCAAAAATGTCATTTATCTATGTCTTCGGGGCTCATTTTTATTTGGTTATATCCTGAGAAATCGTCTATGAAGGAAAGCCATGAATGTGATGTAGTATTATCCACTAAAGTGTCTATATTAGGCAAGGGAAAAGTGTTATTTC